TTCCATTTCCTAATAATTGCTCCCACAGTTGATTTCTTCAAACCAAGCTGCTTACCTATTGCAGATTCAGTCTTCCCAGCCTGGTGCAGGTCTACAATTTTGTTTCTGGTGTCCTTTGACAGCTCTTTGGTCTTGGCCATAGTGGAGTTTGGAGTGTGACTGTTTGAGGTTGTGGACAGGTGTCTTTTATACTGATAATAAGTTCAAACAGGTGCCATTAATACAGGTAACGAGTGGAGGACAGAGGAGCCTCTTAAAGAAGAAGTTACAGGTCTGTGAGAGTCAGAAATCTTGCTTGTTTGTAGATGACCAAATACTTATTTTCCACCATAATTTGCAAATAAATTCATTAAAAATCCTACAATGTGATTTTCGGAGAAAAAAAAATCTCAATTTGTCTGTCATAGTTGACGTGTACCTATGATGAAAATTACAGGCCTCTCTCATCTTTTTAAGTGGGAGAACTTGCACAATTGGTGGCTGACTAAATACTTTTTTTCCCCACTGTACATTGGAGATAATATAAGGCAAGTATTGGAAATAATAGAACATTATGGAAAATCAGAGAAACCAGGCCTGCTATTCATAGCAGACTTCGAAAAGGCATTTGATAAAGTACAACTGGGGTTTATATATAAATGCCTGGAGCATTTCAATTTTGGTGAATCTCTTATAAAATGGGTCAAAATCATGTATAGTAACCCTAGGTGTAAAATAGTAAATAATGGCTATTTCTCAGAAAGTTTTAAACTGTCAAGAGGAGTGAAACAAGGTTGTCCACTATCGGCATATCTATTTATTGTGGCCATCGAGATGTTAGCTATTAAAATCAGATCCAACAATAATATCAGGGGATTAGAAATCCAGGGCTTAAAAACAAAGGTGTCATTGTACGCTGATGATTCATGTTTTCTTTTAAATACACAACTAGAATCACTCCACAGCCTCATAGAGGATCTAGATACATTTTCTAACCTCTCTGGATTACAACCAAATTATGACAAATGTACTATATTACGTATTGGATCAATAAAAAATAAAAAAATTACATTGCCATGTAGTTTACCAATAAAATTGTCTGATGGTGATGTGGATATACTCGGAATATATATCCCAAAGGAAATAAATTATCTCACTTCAATAAATTATAATAGAAAGTTAGCAAAAATAGATAAGATATTGCTACCATGGAAAGGTGGGTGCCTGTCAATTTGTGGAAAAATCACCCTGATTAAGTCTTTAGTATTATCCCAGTTTACCTATTTGCTTATGGTCTTGCCTACGCCTAGCGAACAGTTTCTTAAATTATATGAGAAAAAAAGATTCCATTTTATTTGGAACAGCAAGCCAGACAAAATTAAACTGGCCTATTAATATAATGAATATGAATTCGGAGGACAGAAATGATTAAATATTAAAGCATTAGACCTATCACTAAAAGCTTCAGTCATACAAAAGTTATACTTAAATCCGAACTGGTTCTCTAGCAAATTAGTAAGATTGTCTCACCCAATGTTCAAGAATGGCCTTTTTCCCTTTATTCAGATTACAACCACTCACTTTCAGTTATTTGAAAAGGAAATAATATCCCAGATATCACTATTTCTAAAACAAGCCATAGAAATTTGGTTGCAATTTCAATTTAATCCTCCAGAAACGACAGAACAAATAATGCAACACATATTGTGGTTAAACTCAAATATACTAATTGACAAAAAAAAATTTTTTTTTGACAAAATGTTTAAAAAAGGTATAATCTTTGTAAATGATATCATCGGTAGGACTGGTGGAGTTATGTCGCACATGCAGCTAACAAAAACATATGGAAATGTCTGCTCTACCCAAAATTACAACCAAATAATTGCAGCCTTACCGCAAAAATGGAAGAGGAATATGGAAGGAGGAGAAAGTAAGGAACTTGTCTGTCGGCCTTGCATTAAATAACATAATTGGTTAAGGAAAACTGTGATAAATAAAAAGGTATATCAGTTTCATTTAAGGACCAAAGGATTGACAGCGGTCCCATATAGATTGCAAAATAGTTGGGAAGAGATTTTTGACGTACCGATCCCATGGCATAGTGTTTATGAACTGATACGCAAAACGACACCAGATTCAAAACTTAGAATCTTTCAATTTAAATTATTATATAAAATTCTTGCTACCAATAGAATGTTATTTATATGGGGGATACAATCTTCCCAGCTCTGCAGATTTTGCTGCGAAGAGACAGAATCATTAGATCATTTGTTTTGGTACTGTCCATTTGTAGCTTGTTTTTGGACACAGGTCCAGGAATGGCTAAAGGATTGCAATATTTACCTGGAGCTAACCCTGCAGATAGCACTACTGGGTGATCTGAAAAGTCATAGTCAATCGATCAATAACATAATAATACTATTAGCAAAAATGTTTATTTTCAATTCACAATCTGTAGAAACAATGATAATAGAAAGGTTCAGAACTTTTGTAAGACATCACAGTACAGTTGAAATATATATGGCAAATAGAAATCCTATATGGATGGTGTTAAGATAACTAATAATGTAGGCACGCTGTGTCCATAATAAGTGTATGGGTTGTAGGTTGGGAGCTTTTGTGAAGGAGCACAATTAGAAAGATATGGCATATAGAAGCAAACCGGATGGACATCATGAAAATGATCGGAGAGGTTGAGAGTAGAAGAAGTTCAGGAGAAAGAACAAACAAAATGTAATTACTGTAAAATTGACTGTGTCCATAAAATGTAGATAGTGGGTATGGGCTGGAAGTAGAGGCCTAGACGTTGTTGTTCACTAGTTTACTCCAAGTGGGGAAAGGGTGGCGGGGTTGGAAAGTAATGAAGGGGAATATATATATTTTTTAAAAGGATATGTATGTGTATGTATGTATGTATGTTTGTGTATGTGTGTATGTATGTGTATGTATGTACAGTGGGGAGAACAAGTATTTGATACACTGCCGATTTTGCAGGTTTTCCTACTTACAAAGCATGTAGAGGTCTGTAATTTTTATCATAGGTACACTTCAACTGTGAGAGACGGAATCTAAAACAAAAATCCAGAAAATCACATTGTATGATTTTTAAGTAATTAATTTGCATTTTATTGCATGACATAAGTATTTGATACATCAGAAAAGCAGAACTTAATATTTGGTACAGAAACCTTTGTTTGCAATTACAGAGATCATACGTTTCCTGTAGGTCTTGACCAGGTTTGCACACACTGCAGCAAGGATTTTGGCCCACACCTCCATACAGACCTTCTCCAGATCCTTCAGGTTTCGGGGCTGTCGCTGGGCAATACGGACTTTCAGCTCCCTCCAAAGATTTTCTATTGGGTTCAGGTCTGGAGACTGGCTAGGCCACTCCAGGACCTTGAGATGCTTCTTACGGAGCCACTCCTTAGTTGCCCTGGCTGTGTGTTTCGGGTCATTGTCATGCTGGAAGACCCAGCCACGACCCATCTTCAATGCTCTTACTGAGGGAAGGAGGTTGTTGGCCAAGATCTCGCGATACATGGCCCCATCCATCCTCCCCTCAATACGTTGCAGTCGTCCTGCCCCCTTTGCAGAAAAGCATCCCCAAAGAATGATGTTTCCACCTCCATGCTTCACGGTTGGGATGGTGTTCTTGGGGTTGTACTCATCCTTCTTCTTCCTCCAAACAGGGCGAGTGGAGTTTAGACCAAAAAGCTCTATTTTTGTCTCATCAGACCACATGACCTTCTCCCATTCCTCCTCTGGATCATCCAGATGGTCATTGGCAAACTTCAGATGGGCCTGGACATGCGCTGGCTTGAGCAGGGGGACCTTGCGTGCGCTGCAGGATTTTAATCCATGACGGCATAATGTGTTACTAATGGTTTTCTTTGAGACTGTGGTCCCAGCTCTCTTCAGGTCATTGACCAGGTCCTGCCGTGTAGTTCTGGGCTGATCCCTCACCTTCCTCATGATCATTGATGCCCCACGAGGTGAGATCTTGCATGGAGCCCCAGACCGAGGGTGATTGACCGTCATCTTGAACTTCTTCCATTTTCTAATAATTGCGCCAACAGTTGTTGCCTTCTCACCAAGCTGCTTGCCTATTTTATCCCTGATGTCCTTACACAGCTCTCTGGTCTTGGCCATTGTGGAGAGGTTGGAGTCTGTTTGATTGAGTGTGTGGACAGGTGTCTTTTATACAGGTAACGAGTTCAAACAGGTGCAGTTAATACAGGTAATGAGTGGAGAACAGGAGGGCTACTTAAAGAAAAACTAACAGGTCTGTGATAGCTGGAATTCTTACTGGTTGGTAGGTGATCAAATACTTATGTCATGCAATAAAATGCAAATTAATTACTTAAAAATCATACAATGTGATTTTCTCACAGTTGAAGTGTACCTATGATAAAAATTACAGACCTCTACATGCTTTGTAAGTAGGAAAACCTGCAAAATCAGCAGTGTATCAATTACTTGTTCTCCCCACTGTATGTATATGTGTATATATTATATATATATATATATATATAAATATATATATATATATAAACATGGGGGATTGGAAGTGATGCAGACAATTACATTGATGGAAGTTACAATCTATCTGCAATATTATGCTGATCTACCCCCTAAAAAATAATAGGATTTACTAGGTTTCCCTTTTTATCTATATGATTAATCGTTGGAGTAGAGAAACACACGATTTTGTATGACTCCGGGTAAAATTTATACAAAGATCCAGCTAAAAAAAGGACCATATGCATTTCAGGTAGAATAACAACCCAATGTTTATCTCCCAGGACAAATTAGCTAGCAACAGCAAGCTAACTAAATGTCCATGAATGTTTCATAAGTGTTTCGACCTGTCCCCAAATTAATATAGTTGGTTCAGAGTTGGTTTTGGTATTTTAACCTGTGTGTCATCATCGCGTCTGGTGGGGATAGACAAAATCAACAGACGCATGCCCGGGGCCAGGTTGGTCAGACGCATGCCCGGGGCCAGGTTGGTCAGACGCATGCCCGGGGCCAGGTTGGTCAGACGCATGCCCGGGGCCAGGTTGGTCAGACGCATGCCCGGGGCCAGGTTGGTCAGACGCATGCCCGGGGCCAGGTTGGTCAGACGCATTCCCGGGGCCAGGTTGGTCAGACGCATGCCCGGGGCCAGGTTGGTCAGACGCATGCCCGGGGCCAGGTTGGTCAGACGCATTCCCGGGGCCAGGTTGGTCAGACGCATGCCCGGGGCCAGGTTGGTCAGACGCATGCCCGGGGCCAGGTTGGTCAGACGCATGCCCGGGGCCAGGTTGGTCAGGGTGTAAGGGTATGTGTCATGGCTATTTTGTCTCAGCTCCTGACTATAACCTCTCTCTTGTCTTTGTTAGGTCTGGCCAGCAGCACAGATAACATCTACACCCAGACAGATGTGACCTGTGTCTACATCTATGAGAACCAGAGGTGGAACCCAGTCACAGGATATACCAACAGAGGCCTCCCAACAGACCGTTACATGTGGAGTGATGCGACGGGACTGCAGGAGTGTACCAAGGCCAACACCAAGCCTCCATCCCCTCACTGGACATGGGTGAGCACCACTAACTGGACAAAAAATGTCAATTTCACCCTCAATGGACAATCTAACTTTTGAACTTGAACTAAGTGCCATTAGATGACTAAACAAGCTTGTTGTGCTAACTGCTCTGTCTCTATCAGGTGACAGACTGGGCCATTGACTACGGTATCTCCGGAGGGACAGACAGAGAGGGTTGGCAATACGCAGCTGATTTCCCAACGTGAGTATATCTAACCTTCCCCAATACATCTTCATTGGTCTATCTATCGCATACCAAGCTGAATCCTTTCCCTGCATGAAAGCAGCCATGATGTGCGTTTGTTTCCATCACTATCTTGTGTTTTCTCTCCCTCCCTCTGTATGTACTCTTCCAGATCGTATCATGGCCACAAGACCTTGAAGGACTTTGTTCGTCGTAGGCGATGGGCCAGGTACTGTATGTTAATACACAACAATGGCCCTGTTCCCTCATCACTGGTTGTTTAGGAAGCACACTATGGTCTGTAAGCTCAGATCTAGGATCAGTTTTACTCTACCTAAATCCTAACCTTAACCATTGGGGGAAGGAAACAAAACAACTGACGTTAGATCAGCGTCTAGAGCAGAGTTCTTCAATCCCTGTCCTGAGGACCCACAGGGAGTGCATGTTTTTGCTCCAGCCCAGTACTTACACACCTAATTCAACTATTGGTACACTGGTCTAGGTGCAACTTAACTCCTATTTGAACAACCCTTGTATTTCCTCTGACAGGAAGTGTAAACTGACGACCACAGGGCCGTGGCAGGAAGTCCCACCCATCCCGTTGAGTGACGTGACCATCATCTTGTGTGGAGCTCAGAGCAGTGTTGAGCCGATCCCTCTGTGGGCCATCAGTAACAAGGGAGACGTGCTCTGTAGACTGGGGGTCACCCTACTGACGCCTGCCGTGAGTCACACACACACACAATATGTAAACATACAACACACATGTCCACACAGACATTGTGATTGATAACAGAAGTGGTTGTGTGTGTTTCTAGGGGACGTCGTGGCTCCACGTGGGCACAGACCAGCCCTTTAAGTCTATCTCCATCGGTGGGGCCAACCAGGTGTGGGCCATCGCCAGGGATGGCTCTGCCTTCTACAGGAGCTCCGTGTCCACACAGAGCCCTGCAGGTCAGTCAGAGAATCATGCATAACCCACACACTCTGACAGAACCCAGGGGTCCTCCTTTCAGTCCTGTTGTGTCTTAATGCTAATCAACAGTTCAGTCAAATCCCTCCAATGTATTTTTGAAGCCGTTTTTACATCAGTCATAAAGTGCTTTACAGTAATAGCTTAATTACCTCTCTCTGAGTTCTGGTTCCTATCACAGATATGCACCTAATGATGAAAGTACTCTAATCACTGGCTGGTTAATGTACTATTGCCACCTGCAGGAGTCTGCTGGTACCACATCCCGTCTCCAGCCAGACAGAAGCTCCAACAGGTGTCTGTAGGGAGGACATCAGTCTACACTGTGGATCAAAATGGTACTACAGACAAGAATGTCATGACTTACTATGACATGTACCTTTATTATTGCCAGACGTCTATTAGTTGAACCATCTCTTCTTTATTTTTGTCATGATTTTAATTTGGTGCTCTCCGTCCAGGTAACCTTTGGTTCAGACAGGGCCTGACTCCCAGCTACCCCCAGGGATCGTCATGGGAACACATCTCCAACAATGTACGGAAGGTCTCCGTAGGACCTCTGGACCAGGTGAGCAGAATCTACAATCTAAAACCTGGGTGGTTGTTGTCGGCAGTAATGAATGATAATGACTTTCTCATTGTTGTTGTGAAGGTGTGGATCATAGCTGACAAGGTGCAAGGCAGCCACAGTCTGAGCTGTGGGACAGTCTGTCACCGTCTTGGGGTTCAGCCCATGGAGCCCAAGGGACAGTCCTGGGACTACGGCATCGGGGTGAGACCCTTAACCTTACCTCTAACCCACCAACCTGCTTCTGAGACACCAATGACTTTCAACAGAAAGGTTTTCTTGGTGGGGGGGCTGTCTGACTCTCTCTCTCTCTCTCGAGAGCGAGATAGAGGAGAGAGCGACGATCGACTGAGATAGAGAGATCGTAGAGGCGCTAGCTCTATGCTCTCTCATCTATCTCTCTTCTTCTGTCTCTCCCCTCTCTCTCTCTCTCCTCTCTCTCTCTCTCTCTGTCTCTCTCTCTCTCTCTCTCTCTCTCTCTCTCTCTCTCTCTCTCTCTCTCTCTCTCTCTCTCCTCAGGGTGGCTGGGACCACATCACTGTGAGAGGGAACTCCATAGAGGCTCCCCGTGTCCGTATGCCCTCCCTGACAGCCTCCCTAAGGGACCCCCTCCGCCCACCTCCACCCCGCAGCCTGGACCCCTTCAGGAACACAGAGGAGGAGAATGGGAACGCTGTCAGCTGTTAAACACACACATACACACATACACACACACTTACATACACACACATACATACACACACACACATAAACACACACACACACAAATATACACACACACACACACAAACACACACACACATACACATACACATACACATACACATACACACAAACACACACACACATTCACATTCACACACACATACACACACACACACACACAAACACACACACACACAAACATACACACACACACACAAACAAACACGCACACACACACAAACAAACACACACACACACACACACACACATACACACACTCACACACATACAGTATTTGCCAGTGGACACTGTATCTCTGTTCTGTCTTCAGCCCAACTCTCTCTACAAAAAAACGCCAACATACAACTACTCCACCATCCACACTGTACTGTAGCTCCCAGCTCCAGCCTCAACCTCTAAGTGTCTGAAGTCAAACTCTTCTTCTGTCCAATCACCTGGATGTGTTCAATGACCTTTGAACCCTAGCTCTGTGCCCTCAGCTTGACTCAGCCAATCACCTTCTCTCTTCACAACTAGCAGGTCATGTTCAACATTTCCCACATAGCGCACTAGTCATTTTTAAACAGTGTCACTCAGTCTTTGAACATTGCATCATTGTTATTTAAATCTGTGGTCTTAAGATAACTTTTTGTTTTATTTATTGTTTTTGTTTGGTTTAAGGTTTTTTTTCTGTGTGTGTAGGTGTGTAGGAGTGTATGTGTGTAGGTGTGTATGTGTGTATGTGTGTACAGTACTGTATGTGAATAGATGTTTTGTTTATGTTATGGTGGTGATGGGTTTAACCTTTTAAAAAGAATGTAAGAAGTGTTTTCTGGGGTATTCAATGTGATTGGGGCGATGTATGATTCTGTGAAGGTGGGCGATGTATGATTCTGTGAAGGTGGCGATGTATGATTCTGTGAAGGTGGCGATGTATGATTCTGTGAAGGTGGCGATGTATGATTCTGTGAAGTTGGGTGATGTATGATTCTGTAAAGGTGGGTGATGTATGATTCTGTGAAGGTGGGTGATGTATGATTCTGTGATGGTGAGTGATGTATGATTCTGTGAAGTTGGGTGATCGGTAAGACAGTATCAGTATTTTTGACTGATTCTGTTCCAAGAAGTTACTATACTTCCTACTTTGTACCTGCTTTGTACCTGCTGGAGCCACATCAAAAACAATAAGGGTTTATTTACCGAGAATAATTTTGTTTATTAATGTTTGATAGCACATTACGCTTTTACAGTTATATGCCTTTCCCCTGAATGGTTTGTATCTTTGATTAATAGTTTCTATGTCCATGTTCCTAGGGGACAGTTTTTTTTTCCGATAACATTTTCATGTTACTCTTGAAAAGAAAGAATATATTCTTATTTTCATGAAAAATGTGCAATGTGTAGTTCTACACTGGAACAAAGTGTGAATTGCTTGGAAAGTGATATGTGTCTTTGAAAGGCTTAAAAGTTAATTTGTTTATTTCTCAGGAAAATAAGAGTTAACACTATTACCTGCATATTTTTGACCTCCTATGATTGTAGCAGTACTGACTGGCAGGCAACACAGGTGTAGGTGGAAAGAACAAATATATATTTTTGTTATAAATCTGTATGCGAGTATAGTATAAATGTTTTAATTGTGATATTTCAAGGTTGGGTAATTGTACGTTGATATATAAAAAACGTAAAATATCAGTCATATTAAGTCGTATTAACTATTATCTATAAACCACAAAGGCTGAAACTATCCCGTTTGGGCATTCATTCATCTTCCTGCTGGAACTGAAAGATGAAGATCCAATAGTGACTCATATACTGCAACTACAAATCATTAATTGTACAGAAAACTGGATGTCTGTGAATACTGTCACTTTATCTTCCTATGGCATTTCCTAATACAAAAAGGGCATTGTTTGATAATGTCACTGACTACATACTGCTGTTACTACAGTACAGGAGGGACACATGCTTTTCATGCTAGTGTACCCCCTTCAGATCCCAAGCTATAATTGTAATAAGTCTAGTGGAGGACTTTTCATTTGAGGATTCCATTGCTTTTATTGATTATAGTGTAAACTAGAATACTATAAGCAGGTACTGTCCTAACCCCAACCAGGCTGTTATCGGTGTATATATTTATTCCTTCCTAATAGTGTGCATGGTCAATGTCCTCTCAATAAATGTGATTATTGATAAGGAAGATTCTTGTTTTACATTTTTCAATTCACACTTTTTTGGAGTCTCAGGAGAACTCTCAGGTTTACAAAGATATTACAGAAGTATCGTTCAAACACACATTGTAAGAGCAACATAAATATGTCTTCCATATCAAATTCACCTGTTACACACACACCACTGTTCTAATATAATATGCCATTTAGCAGACGCTTTTATTCCAAGTGACTTACAGTCATGCTTGCATATGTTTTACGTATGGGTGGTCCCGGGAATCAAACCCACTATCCTAGCGTTGGACGCACCATGCCCTACCAACTGAGCTACAGGTGATTTTCCAGAACTATAAAAACACAAGATACAATAGGGTCATAGAGATAAAACAACTGAGGTCAACACATACTGTACGTTTTGGATCTGTGCAGAGCCTGTGGTCTAGCGGTAACGCTGCCAGCTTAAAAGCATATACACTCCTCTCCCCACCAGAGGCACGAGGTCAATTTCCCCCTTCAAACTTTTTGTCCCACCTACCTTTCTTCCACTCTGCAATTTAATAACTGTGTCAACCCCCCACCCCCCAAAAAATATATACTTACAAATATGTTTCTAATAATTTACACTTCATTTAAATTACGGTGTGTTTTCTTTCCCTTCCTAAAACAGGACAGTATTTGACTAAAGTCTGTGGGACCAGTATAGGTAAGCATGTCCTTGTCCTGTATGTGACTGTTGTGTCCAGAGGCAGTGCTCAGCTAGGAAAACAAACATGGGTCCTAAAAGGTTGAAAACATTTATTTATCTACAGCAGGGGTGGCCTGTCCTATCTACAGCAGGGGTGGCCTGTCCTATCTACAGCAGGGGTGGCCTGTCCTATCTACAGCAGGGGTGGCCTGTCCTATCTACAGCAGGGGTGGCCTGTCCTATCTACAGCAGGGGTGGCCTGTCCTATCTACAGCAGGGGTGGCCTGTCCTAACTACAGCAGGGGTGGCCTGTCCTATCTACAGCAGGGGTGGCCTGTCCTAACTACAGCAGGGGTGGCCTGTCCTATCTACACAGCTTGGGCCCTGTGGGCTACAGTGTATGCTGGAGAATTAACTTGTCACGGATCCCCCCGGTACCGGTACTGCTGCTCATTCCGTTCACCAGCTCCAGAGGTCTACGTCACCGGCCTTCTAGGTGTCACTGAACTAGATCATTACCACCAACCCCAGACTGTCTTGTCTCATTACGCACACCTGGTTCCCATTCCCCCTGATTAGTATGTGTATATATGTGCCCTCTGTTCCCCGTTGTCCTTGTCGATTATTGTCCCATGTCCGCTGGTCTCGTGAGTACCGTGTATAGTGCTCTTGTTGTTTACGGGTCTCGTCCCGTTTATTGTGTAGAGGTTACACCTCGCTCTTTGTTTGGGTTACATCCCTTTGATATACAGTATATTACGTGTTTGTGTTGGGTGGAGTAAATAAAACCCCTAATACGTATTCCTTCGCCTGTCTTCTAATCATTATACAACGTGACAGAACTATACTTTGACAATCAGTTATTTTACATTTCTGACCAATCAGGTAACTACAGTTAATCGCCAGCTAGAAAAATGACAGAAAATAAAAAAAACTATGAAAAAAAACAGATTAAATAAAATGGCGCTGGTATGTTCTTTGACTTGGGCCGGTCAGAAGTCTGTTCACACTTGGTTCTCACCACCAATCAGAATCAGAATCCCACATGAGATTAACTTTAAGTTCCACTGTTCTAGAAGTTGGTCCTGTCTGTCACAGTTCTGGCTAGGCCTATGTCTAGTCTGGCATAGTCCACAGGCTGCTGGTGCTCTTTGCTTCAGCCAGCCAGTCAGGTAGAACGACACTGTCTGTCTGCCTGTCTGTCTGTTAGAGTTACTGAGGCAAGTTCTTGTGTGCTCCATTTAGTGCATGGTGATGTCAGGTATGTCACTATAGCACACTAGCTTGTCGGAGTATAAGGCTGCATCTCAGATGACCCCCTTTCCCCATACAGTGCACTACTTTTGGCCGTGATCATAAACAGTAGCAGTGTACAATATGGGAGATGGGTTTCAGTTGAGATTCACTCCCCAAGTCAAGCCTGGATGCTTCAACTATTTGGCTGTGCAGTTAGCACCTGCTAGCTGTTAGCTTTCCTGGCTGATGCTGTGGATCTGGGTGAGGAACTGAAGCTAGCTGTTAGCTCTGCTCGCTGAAGCTGTGGATCTGGGTGAGGAACTGAGACAGGCTCTCATCCCCGTCCTCCGCCAGGTGCCGCTGGTAACACTGGAGCAGTCTGGCGGCACTAGCCTCTGTCGGTGTCTCCCCGGGGGGCAGGTGGGCGCTGGACATCCCCAGGATGATGGAGGTCAGGGACTTGATGTAGTTCTCGGCCAACGTCAGCGTCTCGATCTTGGAGAGCTTCTTGTCCATTTTGACATGCGGGATGGCCTCTCTGAGAGCCTGGAAGGCCTTGTTAAGTTTGTGCATGCGCTGGCGCTCCCGCTCGTTGCTCTCCAGCCGCCGGACGTTGCGTTCTCTGTTGCTGTTGTGAAACCGTCGGCGTCTGTGGGGGCCGTGAGTGGCGCCTCCACCTCGCTCGCAGTCCCCGCCCCTCAAGACGCCTCTCCAGGAGCCTCCAATACAGACCGAGGCCTCAGAACCCTCCTGTTCGCTGGTGCCTGGTTCACTGGTCTCTGGTTCAGGGTCCAGGTCTGCCTCGG